CACACACGCGCCCGGCGTGAGTTCTAAGCCACCGGGTCCGGGACGCGAACCGCGGTCGACTACGTGGGAATCCAGTGACATAGCCATTACGCTAACTGCTGGTTCCCTGAATAAAATAAATTTTAAAAAATATTAAGTAACATTGTATTATGCTAGTATTAGTGTCCTATTACTGAATGCATTTAGCATGAAATATTTTTATCATATTAAAGATATTTCTTATTTTCAGACTTCCATTAGTTTGATGAATCTGACTGTCACACCTCTGTGCAACCCTTTTGATATTCTTCCTGCTGGCATCAAGAACAAAGCAGTTGTGGTACAGTGGGGAACCTGCCACGTTCTTGAAAAAGCTAGAATTGCCCAGAAAGGAGGTGCTGAAGCATTGTTGATTGCCAACAACAGTGTCCTGGTAAGTTATAAAACTGTAGTAACTTCTTTTGAACTCACAGCATCAAATTTCATAGGAATTAAATTACTTTTTTTTTTAATAGACCACAGATTAGTTTATTTTTAACACCCATCATGCCATGAATTCATAGGGAGTAGGTTCCAGTAGCTCAGGCTCCTTTCCACCTCTCACAAGGTGTACTGCTCTGGGTGGAGCAGGCTTTTGCTTTAATTAAACCCAGGTCCCTTTCTCTTTGGCTTCTTTCTTTTTCTGGTCATTTTCCTTCACACGTTTTAGGAAGCTATCTCTGCTCTTAAAATGCTTAATATGCTCAATACACACATTAATTCTCTTGGCAACAATGCCAACAGCATGCTGGGTAACATTGTAGACTCTTCCAGTTTTGCTATGGTAACATTCGTGGGGCATTCCTTTTTGAACAGTACCCATTCCCTTGATGTCTACAATATCACCTTTCTTGTAGATTTGCTTGTATGTTGCCAAAGGAACCACTCCATGTTTTCTAAAAGGCCAAGAGAACATATATCGGGTGCCTCTCCTCTTTTCCTTTGTGTTTGTCATTTTCTTTCCCTTTGTGTTCGTCATTTTGGTTAATTACTGGAAGATGGTGGGTCCAGCCAAAAAGCTTGAATTACTTTTTTGTGTATGGTATAGGGGCTGAGTTTTGAATAATATGGTGGTAAGAGTCTTTGTAAATAAACATTCTGGATATGATAGGGATTTATTTTAATTAGAACATTTTATAGTTTTTCTATTCCTAGAGTAGATAAGACTTTGTTAGGAATATATATGTATATATAGGTGTATGTTATATACTATGCTGTATATGATATCATATATATCTGTTTAAATTCATGTTAAAAGATTTCCATTTTGGAAACTTATATAATATTAAAAAAGAGGCCAACCCCATATTACAGTGGTTGAGGGCAGTGTATTGGAAGCTGGATCCCACATGGCCAACTGTGGGTGAAATTCTGGTCCTGGCACCTTAAAGGCCACATCAGGTGCAGGCGCAGGTGCACGCATGCACCAGATCCTGATGAGACAGAGAATGGGGCATGGTGGCATGACCACAACATGCCCCATTGGGAGTGCTTTGTCTCTGGTGGGTTTATGTGCCCTCTGGCAATTAAAAAAAAGAAAGAAAGAAAGAAAAAACCATGGAACTTTGTTTTGTATCTGAAAGATGTGATGTTTATCTGTAATTGGATAGTTTTATTACTTTTGTTTTTTAAATATAAGAGTAATTAATAAGTTTTTTCTAAAATATTGTTATTATTATTATTATTATTTTATTTGACCAGACAGACACAGAGAGAAGGAAAGTAAGAAGGCATGCTGCCAGGTCTGGGACTCAAACTGTGGTCAGCCATGTGGGAGTCCAACGCCTTAACCACCACACCACCTGCCGGCCCCAATACATTTTCATAATATTTTTTTTCTTTAGTTTCCTCCCTCAGGGAACAGGTCTGAATTTAAAGATGTGAAAATACCGATTGCATTTATAAGCCTCAAAGACTTTAAAGATATGAAACAGGTAACTTAGTAATTACATATTAGATAAAGTTTATAAATAGCACAACTCTTTACTTTTAATCACTGGCATTTAATTTTGATTATTATACATGCTCTGTGTGTTAATAAGGAGCTATAAAGGCTTATTAAGTCTTTATATGGGAAGTATTCATATTTATTTTGGCACAAAATATCTAAGTCTGACCTTTAAAAAGAATATTTATTTGCTTTGAGTTCTCTTACAATCTCTTCTGTCATATCATTTATCTTAACTTTGATTCCTTGAACAAAATGTGCTGGTGTAGAATGCTGCACTTCTAGGATTTTATAAACCAAAGCATATTTTCCTATTTTGACTAGAGAATATCTCACGTTGTCAAACAGTAGTTCTAGTCTTTCTGGCTGTCTTGATGCATAGTGTGTACCTCAGGGTGAAGTGTAGAATATTTCTGCCATGGTCTATAACAGAAAGAAAGTTAATTCCTGTGTTTAACTGTTATTTCGCCTTTCAGACTTTCGGAAGCAACATTACTGTGCAGATGTATTCTCCATCGTGGCCTAACTTCGACTATACTATGGTGGTTATCTTTGTAATCGCTGTATCCACTGTGGCATTGGGAGGATACTGGAGTGGACTGATCGAGTTGTAAGTTTAATTCAACTTTAGTGTTTTTGTGATAAATGGTTAAAGGATTACCGTTTGTAATTACTTTGTAATTATTTTAATCATATACCAACATTTTAAAATTTTCACCTGAGCAGGACCAGCAGTTAGCGTAATGGCTATGCCGCTGGACTCCCATGTAGTCGACCGTGGTTCGGGTCCCGGACCCGGCGGCTTGAACTCACACTGGGTGCGTGTGCGTGCGTGCCCAGGATCCCCAGAGAAGAGTGGAGGAGAAGGGATTGTGGTGTGGTCATCCCCCCGGGGGGTGATTTCTCGCTTTCCGTGTCTGTCTCTGTCTTTGTGGTGAGCGCAGGTGCCCTGTAGCAAAAACCTCTCCAAAAAAAAAAAATTTACCTGAGGCTCAGCTATGGTGGCACATGCTGCTGAGATGCCCATATTCAGAGGCTGGGTCTGTGTAGGAGGCCCTAGTTTGGTTCAGCTTAAGCAGGCTAGGTATGGCGGCATACACCTGTAGTCCTACCTGCTAGGAGGCTGGGCAGGAGATGAGACCCTGTGAAAAATCCACCAATCTCTTTCTCCTCCCCTGCCCTAATAAATAAAAACAAACTTGAAAAAAAAATTGGCTGTGCAGTATGGCAGGTGGCTTGGTGGTTAAGGCCCTGGACTCTCACATGGCTGACCACAGTTCAAGTCCAACACCTGGCAGCTTGCTTTCTCACTTCCTCTCTCTCTCCCCTCTCTCTCTTCTTCTGTGTCTCTTCTCTGGTTAAATTTTTAAAAATAATAATAACACATAAAATTAAATGGTTTTTTGTCTGTTTTAAATTGAGGGGCTTAGGGAGGACAGGCAGTAGCATGGTGGTTAAAGCAGCTGGATCCCACATGGCCAGCTCTGTGGCTCAGGTCCTGGACCGCTTGGCTTGAGAAACAAACTGGGCATGTGTGCATGTGTGTCCAAAATCCTGAGAGAAGGATGGAGGAGAAAAGATTGTGTGGCCATCTATAGATTTCATTTAAAATGACTTATTTGTAGCTAAATGAAGCTAAGTTTATTTGTAATCTCTTAAATGCTACATCTGATTTATGCCGAGAGGAGAATCTTCAAGTTTAAATAAGTGTTAATTCCTTTAATGCTGAGCTTTAAACATTTTGCATATATATATATATTTTTTTTTTTTTGGAGAGGTTTTTGCTATAGGGCGCGTGCGCTCGCCAGACAGACAGAGAGAGACATAGAGACAGAACGCAAGAAATCACCCCCTGGGGGGATGGTCATGCCACAATCCCTTCTCCTCCATTCTCCTCTCGGAATCTTGGGCACGCACGCACATGCGCCCGGCATGAGCTTTAAGCCACCGGGTCTGGGACGTGAACCACGGTCAACTACGTGGGAGTCCAGTGACATAGCCGTTACGCTAACTGCTGGTTCCCAACATTTTGCATATTTGAAGAGCATGTTTAAGCTTCTATTAGTCACATTTTTTCATGTGAGGAAGAATGATTTTTCTTTCTTTCTTTCTTTCTTTCTTTCTTTATTTATTTATTTTGGAGAGGTTTTTGCTATAGGGCGCGTGCGCTCGCCAGACAGATAGAGAGAGACAGAGAGATAGAAAGCAGGAAATCACCCCCCAGGGGGGATGGCCACGCCGCAATCCCTTCTCCTCCATTCTCCTCTCGGGATCTTGGGCACGCACGCACACGCACCCGGCGTGAGTTTAAGCCACCGGGTCCGGGACTCGACCCGCGGTCGACTACGTGGGAGTCCAGCGACATAGCCATTACGCTAACTGCTGGTCCCATCATTTATTTATTTTTAAAGAATTATCTATTTTAACTTTATTCATCCATTCATTTGATTTTAATTTGACCAGACACACACACAGAAACAGGGAGAGAGAAAGTAAGAAAACAAGCCATCAGGTCTGGAACTTGAACCAGTTCAGCCATGTGGGAGTGTCCAGCGCCTTAACCACCATGCCCCCGGCTAGTCCCCTCTTTCATTATTTGTTTTATCAAGCATAGTATATAGTGTCTTAATATCATTTTCTTTATTACTTTGTAGGACTTTGTAACTAATTTTCTTTTTCTTTTCCTTTCTTCTTCTTCTTTTTCTTTTTTTTAATTTTGCCAGAGGATGTGTGCACTAGCTGGAGAGAGAGAGAGAGAAAAAGAGGGAGGGACAGAAAGAGAGAAAGCATCCCTCTATAGAGTATGGTCATGCCACAATCCCGTCTCTTCTCTCTCTCCCTCTTGTTGGGGTTTAGGACACACACTTGTGCACCTACTGTGTTTTTTAAGTCGCCGGTCTGGGTTTGAACCACGCAATTGGCCATGTGGAATCTAACTACCCTAACCACCATGCCACAGGCTGGCCCTATAACTGATTTTCCAAAATCTACTGGTACATTGAAAACATTTTTCCATTTACTATAGATTCTCACTGTACTTCTATTTATTGTTTTTAGTTTTCTTTTCCAAAGTAGTGCTGCTCAAACTGTAATGTGGATGCATAATATCTTGAGCTTTTGTTAAAATCCAAATTTAGATTTAGTAGGTTTGGGATGGGGACCAAGATTCTACATTTTTAACAAGTTCTCGGGACCAGCAGATGGTTACGTTGCTAGACTTCCACGTAGGCAACTGCAGTTTGAATCTCAAACCCAGTGATTTGAAATTGAAGCTAGGCGCATGTGTGTGCGTGCCTAAAATCCTGAGAGGAGAATGGAGGAGAAGGAATTAAGGCATAGCCACTCTTCGGAGGAGGGGGGTGATTTCTTGCTTTTTGTCTCTGTGGCTCTCTGTGTCTCTGGTGAGCGCACGCACCCTATAGCAAAAATCTTTCTTAAACACACACACACACACACACACAAAGTTCCTAAGTGATTTTGCTGGTCCATAGACCATACTTTGAGTGAGCAAAGCAAGCTTATTTATATATGTGTTAGGACAGCCTCCTCCTTGAGAAAACTGGAGATTGAAGGGGTAGATATGTCAGCTTTGTTGTTGTTTCTCTCTCTCTCTCTCTCTCTCTCTCTCTCTCTTTTGAAGATGTTTTTGCTGTAGGGTGCATGTGCTCGCCAGAAAGACAGAGAGAGAGACAGAAAGCAAGAAATCAGCCCCCAGGGGGGATGGCCATGCTGCAATCCCTTTTCCTTCATTTTCCTCGGGATCTTGGGCATGCACGCATATACACCCAGCGTGAGTTTAAGCCACGGGGTCCAGGACTCAGCTTTGTTATTTCTAAAACATGGTGATGGAGCAGAAAGAAACAAAAACTGGTGGCCTTCAGTAGCCAAATAGGGAGAGAGAACTCATCTGCTGAATTATGGGTTTAAAAATTGAGGGGGCTGATTCTAAGAGCAAAATAAAGATAAGACGAAGTTATTTGTTGAACTTCTTTTGTATCCTTTATAGACAAGCACAGAACAGGAATATAGTAAATACTGAGTTGATAGTAGAATTTAATGTTTACATTTAAGGAAGCCAATTTTAGAAATACTTTACTGTCTTTAAGTTGACAATCGTGTGTAAGAAGCATGTTTACCATTTGAAATATATTACATCCATATAACTAGTTTCCAAATTAGATAATATAAACATCTACAAACATTAATTTACTTACAAAATATATGTCATCTATTTAAACAGTTTTGCTTCCAGAAAACAAAACAAAACAAAACGAAAAAACCTATTTCAATAGTTGGTGGTTAAGAACAGATTGTCTCTAGTGGGTAGAATTATAGGGGAATTTTGCTTTCTAGATTAAATTTTCTTTTTTAAAAAAGGATTATTTTATTTAACTTTATTTATTTATTACTATTTTCCAGGTTGATCAGACAGAGAGAGAGAGAGAGAGAAAAAGAGAGAGAGGGAGAGGGAAAGTGAGAAAGCAAGCTACCACATCCAGGCCCTGAACCATGGTTGGCCATGTGGGAGTCCAACATCTTTAACCTCTTTAACCTCTACACCACCTGCCGGCGCTTTAAATATTCTTTTTGATTTGTAGTATTTTTTTGGTTTTTCCATTACCAGAGGGTGTGTGCACTTGCCAGAGAGAGAGAGAGAGAGAGAGAGAGAGGAAGCATCACCCAACACAATGTGACATGATCATGCTTTAATCCTTACTCTTCCATTTCTCCATCGCATTGGGAATTAAAGCATGCACGTACTTGTGTCAGTGTGTTTTTTCAAATCACTGGGTCAAGATTGAAACTGCTATTAGCTATGTGGGATCTGACATGCAGGGCTTACCTGCTGTGGTATGAAGCCTGTCCTAGTTTTTGTTTGTTTGTTTTTTAAGAATTATTTATTTTTTGGGACCAGCAGTTAGTGTAATGCCTATGTCGCTGGACTCCCACTTAGTCGACCGCGGTTCGAGTCCCGGACCCAGTGGCTTAAACTCACGTTGGGCGTGTGTGCATGCGTGCCCAAGATCCTGAGAGGAGAGTGAAGGAGAAGGGATTGTGGAGTGGCCATCCCCCCTGGGAGGTGATTTCTCACTTTCTGTCTCTCTGTCTGTCTGTCTGTCTGGCGAGCGCATGCGCCCTATAGCAAAAACCTCTCCCCCTCGCAAAAAAAAGAATAATTTATTTTTTAAAGAATTTTTTACTATTTTAAATTTTATTTACTCATTTATTTATTTGTTTATTTTTAATTTTGGCCAGAGAGAGAGAGAGAGAGAAAGCAAGCAGGTTACCATGTTCAGGACTTGAACTGTGGTTGGTCATGTGGAAGTGTCTAGTGCCTTAACCAGTTCGCCACTTGCTGGGCCTATCAGTTTTAGTTTTATAAATTACATTACTTTTGTAATAGAAACTAATTTAAACTGATATTAGAGAAGCTTTTTTTTAAGTTATTATTTATTTCATGAGAGTAAGTAATGGGGCTGGGGAATAGCACACCCTCACCTTGGTTTCATGCTATGGGCCTCACCTCCAGCCCTTCCAGCCAGTCAGGATCATGGGCATGTACTTCCAGCACTTGTAGGTTACCCAGAGAACCGAATCTGTGATCTTGCATGTGGATCCAGCATTGTTTGAGCAGCACTTGATCACTGTGTCACCTAGCCAGCCTGACAGATTTTTTAAATAATGGTGTATTACCAAAATTTGCTGAAATTTCTGTGTGTGTTTATGCAGGGAAAACTTGAAAGCAGTGACGAACACTGAAGACAGAGAAATGAGGAGAAAGAAGGAAGAATATTTAACTTTTAATCCTCTTACAGTGATAATGTTTGTGGTCATCTGCTGTGTTATGATGGTCTTACTCTATTTCTTCTACAAATGGCTGGGTAAGAAGTTGTATTTTTTATTTGCTACTTTTAGTTTACATTTTTAAAAATTTATTTGCCTTTCTTTTAAAGTATGTTACCTGAATTATTCTTTTAATATTAATTTTTTTGGAGAGATTTTTGCAATACAGCGTGTGTGTTCTCCAGAGAGACAAAGAAAGAGAGAGAAAGTGAGAAATCACCCCTTGGGGGGGATGGCCATGCCACAATCCCTTCTCCTTCATTCTCCTTTTGTGATTTGGGGCAGGCTCACACACACCTGTTGTGAGTTCCAAGATTCCTGGTCTGGGACTCTACCATGGTCTGCCATGTGGGAATCCAGTCCCTTAACCATTACACCACCTGCTGGCCCCTGGTTAACATTAACTACTTTTTTTAAAAGAATTATTTATCTGATTTTATTTATTATTATGATCACTTTTAAAATTTTCTGTAGAACATGTATGCTCATTGGATAGAGAAAGTGAGAGAAGGTGGGAAAGCAAGCTGCCTGCTATTACTACCTGGCAATCTGCCCACCCAAGAGCCTTTTGGGTATACTTTCCTATTAAATCTTCTTTTCTACAAAAAAAAAAAAAAAGAAAGCAAGCCATCAGATCCAAGACTCAAACTGTGGTCAGCCATGTGGGAGTCCAACAATGTAAGTGCTACACCATCTGCTGTCCCCAACGTATCTGCATTTTTTTAAGAATCATTTTATTTAACTTTATTCATTTATTTTAATTTGACCAGAGAGGGAGGGGAAGCAAGAGAGCAAGAAAACCTCCAGGTGTGGGACTTGAACCATGGTCAGCCACGTGGGAGGTCCAGTGCCCTTAACCACCACACCACCTCCCAGCCCCCAAGATATCCACTCTTAAAACTCAATCACAGAGGGACCAGAAATTAGTGTAATGGCTATGTCGCTGAACTCCTATGTAGTCGACCACAGTTCGAGTCCCGGACCCAGTGGTTTAAACTCACACCAGGTGCGTGCACATGTGTTAAGATCCCGAGAGGAGAAGGGATTGTGGCGTGGCCATCTCCCCTGGGGGGTGACTTGTCGCTTTCTGTCTCTCTGTCTCTCTCTTTCTGGCGAGCACACATGCCCTATA